ATCCATGCGCGCAGGAAGGTGCACCTATATATCGACGGGGCCTGCGAGTGGGAGACCCCGCGACTGGTGCCCAAGTGTGGCCTCGGAGCAGTGCTCATTGGAGAAGGCATCGCCTTCACCTGGGGGCTGCAGATCAGCAGCCAGGTTGCAGCCCAGTGGGTTGCCAGGGCACAGAAGCAGCAGTTGGTCTACGAGTGCGAGCTGTTGCCCTATTTGCTTAGCCTTCAACTGTGGGCCAAGCATATAGCAGGCAGTGACCTGTTCGTCTGGATAGATAACGACGCAGCGCGTACTTCCTTACACAAGGCCTTCACACGCAAGGTAGAAGGCGCAGCGATAGTCTCGCAAGCGGTGGACTTTGAAGAGTCTCTGCAGTGCAGGGCTGCTTTCTTCCGAGTCCCGACAGACAGCAACATCGCTGATGGCCCCAGCAGAGACTGGTGGGAAGAGACTGAGAGGCTAGGCGCAGCGCGCCAATACCTGCCGCCCAACGCAGTGCCGTTGGCTTTGTCACTCGGCGCGGACTAGATGGGGGGTGAGTAAGGCTTCGAGTGCCTTCAAGGGGGGTGAACCAGTCGTTCGCCTTACCATCGACCAGCGGTCGAGTTTTGAATCAAGATGCCAGTGGCATCGTTTCGTCAGTGCCCGAAGATCGGGCCCGAACTGACCCCCCATGTCCGCTAGGAGAAAAAAGAGAGTGTTTTGCACAGGGTTCCTCTGCAGCGCAGTTAGGGTTTCCCAAACGCGCGCTAACGGAAGTTTCGTTGGAAAATAAGCATCCATCATGCGTGCGTGAATGGGTTTTATTTTCCGCCGAAAGTGTAGACAAAGTTTGTCGAAAAAGGAAAACAGTGTTTTCACTTGTGTGTGAGTGACACTAGACAAATTTTGCCGTGCAGCTTTCGGCTTGGAGTTGGATCTGTGATCCAAAAAGTTTTTATCCCACCCACCACACCCTGTATAGTATGCGGGGTCTGGGACACCGCGTCGGCAGCAGAACTGCCAGGAGCAGCGTCCTATGTTCTCTCCCGCAGAGAGGCGTCAGCACAGAGTGCACTCTTGTACATAGGCCGTAGGCCGTCAGACTACAGAGTAGCAACTGGTAGCTGCAGTGACCCAGTAGGTCAGAGAATGTTTCACCTTACCTTCCCGTGGTACGGGTTTTTCCCTGGTAGGGGGGGTGAACCAGTCGTTCGCCTTACCATCGAGCAGCGGTCGAGTTTTGAATCAAGATGCCAGTGGCATCTTTTCGTCAGTGCCCGAAGATCGGGCCCGAACCGACCCCCCATGTCCGCTAGGAGAAAAAAGAGAGTGTTTTGCACAGGGTTCCTCTGCAGCGCAGTTAGGGTTTCCCAAACGCGCGCTAACGGAAGTTTCGTTGGAAAATAAGACAGTGTACGCCACTGTATGATGTTGAAGTGCTAGCAGAAGCAACAGGAACACCGTGGCTACACACAAGACTGTCACAAGACATGTTGGTAGGAAGGAAATCAACGAAGAGATTGCCACCGCACAGTGGAATCGAGATGGCAATTGGCGACAAGCCAGAGATTGCCCCAAGAAAGGAAAGAAGCCAAGAGCAAGAAGATGAACTGAAGGATTATAGCCCAAGTCAAGAAGCGGCGTCAGATCCGCCAAGCGAGACTGAACAAGACATGGACGAAGATCCAGGTGAAGGACATGTTGGATCATCAAGCAGCAGTTCAAGCAGTCGAGGAAAAGGAGTCACAAGAAGAAGAAGTGAAAGAAGCGATGAATCTGATGAGCTGATTACAGGAGAGAATCCACCGCCAGCATCGCCAAAGAGGAACAGCCAGAAGCGGTGAGACAGAAAGTGGATGAAGGAACGACGGAAGTTGAAGAGAGACCAGAGAAGTTTATTGCCGTCGGAGATGCATCAAGTTCGGTGAGAAGAGTGATCGACATGAGAAGCGTGAAGAAGATAGAACCATTCCTAAGAAAGGAACTTCCGCAGTATCACGATGATGAAGAAGTCGAGTTGGAAGAATTTGAAGAAATGGAAGCTGAGTTTGATGAGGAAGAAGAATGGCAAGAATCAGATGGCGAAGAAGAGATACCAGAGGATATGCCAAAATGGTCAAATGACTTCGAAAGCGGACCACCAAAGTTAGCTGATGAAGAAATGGAGAAAGTTGAAGGTGTGTCCAAGAAGCACGAGTTGGAGAGACTGGAAAAGATGAAAGTGCTGAACAAGTTGCCAGAAGGAACAGACATTTCAAAGTACAAGTTTCTGTCGACAAACATAGTGTATGACTGGAGACACAGAGACAAAGAATGGAGAAGAAGAGGACGATTGGTAGCAAGAGAGTTCAAGTGGTTAGGTGATACAGATATTGCAAGTTTGTTTTCGCCAACCGGTGTAGCAAGCACAGTGAAGCTACTGTCAGCTCTGTTCGCGTCTTCAGAAGGATATACACTTGGAAGTATCGATGTTGGAGATGCTTACCTGAGGGTGGAGCAAGAAGAACCAACAGTGGTTGAAGTCGATGGAGAGTACTACGAACTGGGATTCACGTTGCCCGGTCAGCGAATCGGGAGTGCAGCTTGGTTCGGAAAGTTGAAAAGTTACCTGGAAGATTACGGGTTAACAAGTGATAGTGGACTCGCGGCACTATTCTCAAGAACACCAGACAAAGAAGGATTCGGAATAATCGTGCTGAGTCATGTAGATGACATGGAGTTGTACGCATCAAAAGAAGAGTTCAAGAAGTTGGTCGAATTCCTAAGAAGCAAAGGATTAAAGATCAAAGTGGAAGGACCACTGGATGAGAAGGAAGGATCAATGAGTTTCCTGAAGAGAAGTTTCAAGTCGATGAGTGATGGAAACGTAGAGATCACGATGAATTCAAAGTACATTGAAGGACTGGTAGAAGTGCTCAAGCTGGAAGGAGCATACCCAAAGAAACTACCGTGTCCAGCGGACAATGGAAGGTCATTTCAGTCAAAAGAAGGTGGAATGGAACCGCTGAATGCAGAAGATCACCACACGTTCAGAAAAGGAGTAGGGATATTACTGTATCTCGCGCCCGAGAGGCCAGATATCATGTATGTCTTGAAGAAGCTGTCAACGAAGCTCGCATCACCCGTTGAAGCAGACATGGAGCTGCTAAGGTATGTTGGAAAGTATCTCAAGGGATCGCCTGAACTTACGTTGGTACACCAGGAAAGCTACCCTGGAAAGAGTTTTCTGGAAGTGAAGAACAGAAGCAACGAAGGAAAGGTTGAAAGAGACAACTACAAGATGCCAGCGCTCATAGAAGTGATAAGCGACAGTGATTGGGCAGCAGATCGAGAGTCAATGCAAAGTGTTTCATGTGGAGTGATAATGGTGAATGGAAACCTGGTTCATTTCCAAAGCAAGAGACAAGAGAGCGTAGCATTGTCATCTTGCGAAGCTGAGACAATCGCAGCGACATCAATCTTAAGCGAAGGTGTATTCCTGAAAGGATTGCTGAAGAGAATCCTAGGAGTTGAGCCAAGACTGATGTTATACAGTGATTCGTCAAGCTCAAGACAGTTGATCTCAAGAAAAGGCTTAGGCAAGGCACGCCATTTACAAGTGGACCTCTTATGGATCCAAAGAATTCCGAAGCTCATTATAAAGGCGATAGCCGGAAAGGACAATCCCTCAGACCTAGGGACCAAATCCCTGACAAAGGAAAAGATACGCAAGTATATGCTAAGCCTAGGATACACAGGTGAATTTTTGACACCAAGTGCTCAAGAAGTCCAAGAAGTTGAAGTGAGAAGAACAAGAACGAGAAGTGTTGCAAGATTTGATGAAAGGATGATTACAAGGATTATCCAGACGGTTACGACCGCAGTGTTGTTATCGTTGACTGAAGCAAGAAGATTCGGTGAAGAAGGTGAACAAGGACTGGGAAGAGCAGGTGTAGTTTGCATACTGTTGTGCATGTTTACAGCAGCGATTATGCATAAAGTTGCAAGCGCAGCCGTTTTGCTCAAGAGATTCAAGAAAGTCCTGAAGAAAGAAGAAAAAGAAGAAGAAAGGACAAGAGCAATGGCTGATGATGATGCAGTTAAGTACATGATTACAGAGAGAAGCAGAAGCATCGAGGCAACCGAATACCTCAGACAAGTGCTCAGTAGAGAAAGGAACAACAGACCAAGTGCTGATGACCTCTGGAAAGAGGTGGAGGTACTCAACCAAAAGCGTGAAGATAAGGAGACTGACGAAGAGAAGGAAAAGAAGGAAGAGCAGCCGAAGAAAAAGGAAGAAAGTGAAGCCGCGTCGGATCCAGAGTCCGATGGAGAGTCGAAGGAAAGCGAGTCAGCAGAAGACGACGAGAATGAGAAAGGAAAAGAAGAAAAGAAAGGAGAAGAAAAAGAAGAAGATTTGGAAACGTTCAAGAAAACTGCTGAAGAATTGGCACAGGAAGCGGAGAAGCTGAAAAAGTCAAAGGAGACTAACTTCGCAGCTTTGGAACAGAGGAAGGTTAACATACCTGAGAACATCAAAGAAGGGATAATAAAGCAAGGAGAACTCATGGATGAAAAGATACAGCAGCTTGAAGAGATGAAAGCAGCAGCCAAGGAAAGAAGAGAAGGAGTAAGAGCTGAAGCAGATCAAGTCGCAGACAAGGCAGAAGAAGTGCAAAGCTTAAATCTATCCTCTTGAGTGCACATGCATGCGAATACCAGTACGACTGAAGGCTTTGGTTTCAAGTGAAAAAGTGAAGTTTGCTGCCGCTTTACATGGTAGCGGAGCACGTCGGTCCACGGGACTGAGTGCTCGGTGGCCAGGACCCTAGCCACCTGTGTTGTGGCCAGGACCCAAGCCACGTGTGTGTGTGTGTAGAGTAGTGCCCAAGTGTGTGACGGCCCGCTTGCCATAGTTTCGACTGTGCCTGGCGGCTGTGCGCTCCTCCTCAGTGTCTACTACAACCGCTGCGGTCACGGCGACCTTGGCGGGGTTGGAAAGCTTCAAGGGAGCCTTGAGCGAGTTTGCAGTTGAACAGGTGTTGGAGAACCACCGGGTGGAGCGTCCCGACACCATTAGTCAACGTGCCTGGAGCAGAAAGCAGACCAGGGAGATCGAACGAGCCCATACGCGTATTCAACTGTGTGAAACCTTGGATCAGTTGGTTAACTACGCAGCGACTCTCCTTTCTCCGGACAACCTAGAGGCATTCCTGTTTCTGAATTTGTCGGAGAGAGACCCTGAAGAGCCGTTGTTCCTCCCGAACCACCTGGTTGAGTCTACGGTACACCCAGAAGAAGACCACCCTCCGTTGCCAGCTAGCCTAGACGCCTTGGTGTTGGAGTACGAAACCCAGCAGCACGACAAGCATCTAGAAGAACTACTCAAGAACGACTTCGGCATCATCCTTGGTGGTGGTACACGCGAAAGTAAGAAGAGAACCTTTGAGGGATCTCTTAAGGCTGCACCGGCTGCTGTCATTGACCTGGATTAGGCGTGATGGCGACTTCAGGATCTGCGGACCCTGGACCTCAACTACCACAACCTCCCCAAGGGAGCAATCCGTTTCAGGGAGCACCGGTGAGCCCTACGAGTCCTAGTCAGCAACTTTCGAGCGAGTTCTAGAGATGCTGACAGCGTCGGTTCTGCAGAGTGCCGAAAATTCTCAGCAGATGAAAGAGACTCTTGAAGCCTTGACCAGACGTACGTTGAATGAGAGTGGATCGACTCAGTCTGGTATGTGGTCTCGTGTGATCAGCAAGCCAGATGTCTTCAAGCCAAAGGACAGGGAGGAAGAGCTCTCCCAGTTTTCAGAGTGGTCGTGGCAATTCAAACAGTATGTGCGCATGATCTGCCCAGGGATGCATAAGTTGCTTGAGAGCGTGGAGTCTGATCTTGATGACAGTAACGTGCACTCGGAGATGTCTGCAGAAACAGTGGATTTGTCAAAGCAGCTGTACGCCTTGCTTGCTAGTTTGTTGAGAGAGCGTCCTGTGCAAATCTTGAAGGCCATCCCAGATGGCAATGGATGCGAAGTGTGGCGGACCTTGGTTCGCACCCTGGCGCCTAGCAACAAAGCTCGGTCGTTGGCGCTGCTTGGAGCAATTTCTCAGTTTCCAGCCATGACAAATTCCAACTACCATGAGCAGATTTTGAAGCTGGAAGAGTTGTGCCGTAAGTACAGCCAGTCGTCCGGCAAAGAAGTGGATGTGGAGTTGAAAGCAGCTATTCTTTTGAGATCGCTGCCGGCGACTTTGCGTACACATGTGAGCGTGAACTGCAGTGAGAGTGCTACGTATGAAGAGCTTCGAGAAGTAATCCTTCGTTATGAGCGAGCAACCCAGAAGTGGACCACCCAGTTGGTTTCAGGTACGACCCTACCTCCTGCTGGTGATGGTGCTGTGCCTATGGATGTTGACATGGTGAAAGGAAAGGTTGGTAAAGACAAAGGCAAAGGTGGGTGGAAGCACTACAACATCAACCCCAAAGGCAAGGACAACAAAGGCAAAGGAAAAGACTACTCCCAGTACAACCAGAAGGGCAAGCATGGGAAAGGCAAAGGTGGTTACAAAGGAAAGGACCATAAAGGGAAAGGCAAAGGCTATAACCACGACAACTCGAAGGGCAAGAGCAAAGGCAAGACCAACGTTCCCTACAACAATTGCAAGATTTGTGGTAAGCCAGGTCATTGGAGCAATGAGTGTTGGATGAAGAAAGTGAACCAAGTGAACAACAATCCTGGAACCCCAAATGTGCCTCAACCACCTGCGGCTCCTGGAGGATCAACGAGTACCACTGCGACTACAGCCACGGTGAAGCGCGTCTTCAACTTGGCAGACGACATAGACGCAGTTCAGTTTCCGGTTGCAGGGGATTTGGTTGGTGGCTTTGAAGAATCGTGGGATGATGAAGAGTGGTCTGAGTGGTGGTGCTATCATGTCACCGCTTCGGAGTGCGAGTACTATGACATGAGCACGGAAGACAGCTCTGAAGAAAACTGGACGTACGATGACACAGCAGTTTCCGTGTTCGACATGACCATGTCTGATGCCCTTCCAGGTGATGAAGATTGGGTCCAATGCGATTGGGCCAAGACCTACGTGCAGATGGTACAACAGGGACCATCTGAAGGCTGGACCAGTGAAGGGATCAAGGTTGAAGTGGTTCTTGATTCAGGCGCTGATGTTAGTGTGATGCCAGAGCAGTGGTTGCAGATGGATGTGGGGCAGAATGCACCGGGTGAGCGCGTTCTCATGAGGGATGCACAAGGTCGTGAGATGCCGAATCTCGGCACTCGTAATGTGTCGTTAGATCTTGGCCAAGCAGTCCTTCATGAGCGCTTTCATGCATCATCAGTGGCTACCCCTTTGCTGAGCCTGGGTCGACTGTTGAGGAAAGGATGGAGTTTGAACCATCGCAACAATATGTTGTGCTTGTGCTTCGAGGATGTGGCAGTACCTGTGAGTTTTCGGAGAAATTCATTGGTGGTGGAAGCTACAGTGCACAATGTGGAAGCAAGTGACATGAGCCCAATCATTGAAGAAGTTGTCGAAGAACCCAGCTCTCCACTAGAAGTACGGCCATTGCTAGAAGGGCGACGCCACTATGCTGCGTTTGATTTCAACCCTGATGCTCTCTCCACATCTGAGGCTGGTGAGCTCGATCCACGTGGTCGACGGTGGCTATTTCTGCCAACGGGAGACCCGGTTTGCCTCTCTGTGGGTTTGAACTTTGTTGACCCTAGTGCTATGATGAACACTGCGCTTTGGAAGTTTCGGACTACAGTCGTGAAGATTGCCGAGCGTTGGGAGGTTTTGGAGTTACACCAGGATTTGACCTCAATGCCGACCATGAGTGGTGCTCTGTCAGCGCTGGATGATTCTCTTCCTGGAGTGATGTATGAGAGCCTGACCATGACGGTGATGCACCGAACAATCGTGGAGCCCGAGAAGTTTGGGTTTCATGTGAAGCCCGAGGCACCAAACCCGTTGCTGGATGAACCTCTGCCTCAGGTACCTCCGGAACCAATACGAGCTGATGAAGGGATGCCGGATGGTGCCAACGACTCCAATGCGGAGGATGAGCAGCCTGGCGCGCAACCTGTGTTGCCTGGGATTCAGCTGGAGAAGCCTATTCCAGATGAGATTGACGTTGAAGGCAAGAGGTTGACTGCGGAGTCCCCAGCGGCTGAGTTGAAGTTGGCGTGCCGTGCGTTGGGTATAGGTGCTACGGGGTCCAAGAATGTCCTGTACAAGCGGTTGGTGAAACACGTGTGGCGTAGGAAGATGGAAGATGACTTAGCTCTGTTTGAAGCTGCGAAACTACCAGAACGCAATCCTCGCTCGTCTCCAGTTCCTACAGAACCATCTCCTGAAGAAGTTGCCAAACATCGGCTAACCCACGTACCTTACCAACCATGGTGCCCGTTGTGCGTGGCGACAAGAGGAAGAAGGGATGCTCATCGAGGTGATGAGGCTCACCGCTCTACTGGCGGTTGGCCAGTCCTGTGCATGGACTGGCATGGACCTCATGTATGCCTCTCTGGAAGGTTCAGTGTGCGAGTTCATGAAGCAAGCCCCAACGAGCAAAGAGAAGAAGTTGACTGTGTTGGTGTGCGTAGATCGGGATACTGGGATGATTCATTCAGTGCCTCTTCCTGGAAAGGATACTACGGCTTTACAACATGCTGCCCAAGAAGTTCTTGGGTTTCTGTCCTACCTTGGTAGGACTGAAGTGGAGATCAGGGGCGACAATGAACCACCGATGGTAGCCCTGTGCGATAAGGTCGTGGAAGCTCGAAACAAAGCAGGTTTGTCAACCCGCAAGACTCCTTCTCAACCCTATGAACACCAGACCAATGGAGCAGCTGAGCAAGCAGTCTTGAGCATGCGGGACATTGGCAGCACTCTCCTACAGCAGGTTAAGCAGAATGGATTTGCCCCCAGTTTGAACCCCGAGTTGATCCCGGGGGCCTATGTGCACGCATCGACTTTGCATAACTGCTTTTCAGTGTCTGCGGGAACCACACCTTATGAGCGCGCCTTTCAGGTGAAGTACAATGGACGGCTGGCGATGTGGGGCGAGACGATGCTGTTTGCTATTTCCGAGCCCCATCGACGTAAAGGCCGGCCGAAGTTTGCGAAGGGCGTGTTCTTGGGTAAAACCATGTTGAATGACCTCAACATTTGTGGCACAGCGTTGGGAGTGTATTTGTCGTCAACAGTCAAGCGTCTTCGAGAAGCACAACAATGGGACAAAGTGTTACTCAAAGAAGTTCAAGGTAAGCCTTGGAGGTACGGTTTGTCATCTATGGGTATGAAGATAGTACCTGGATTACGTGAACGCAAGCCGCGTCCAGAGCCCATGGCCGAACTACCTGTGCCTCTGCATCCGTTACCTCCTCCTGGTGGATCAAGCCCAAGAGAGGAAGCTGCGTCTGACCCCACGTCAGAACCTGCGTCGCCTGACGCAGAGTCGGCTTCAGAGTCTAGCAGTGAACACCCAGGAGGGGATGCCAGAGGAGCCAAGCGAGATCGTGAGCCAGGAGGGGATGACGATGATTCGTCTCCTCAAAGCTTCCCTTCAGATCTGTTGAGTCCAGCTGCTGAGCCAGCTCCGATGGTTGTTGAAGAACGTGGGGAAAAGCGAGATGTCCCAGAGTCGTCTGGGAGTGACCAACCGGTCAAGAAAGTTCGAGCTGTGCGAGTTGGTGACGTGGACTACTTCGTCGCGGATGAGGAGATGGAGGACTGGTGGCAAGGCTTGGAGTTTGATGCCCAGTACTATGATGATGATTGGATGGACTTCACACCAGAGACGGATCCAGAGGTGTTCTGGGAAGATCAAGGAGAAGAGGAAGGACCTCCTGTCCTTTCTGCAGACCAGCTGGAGAAAGTGGAAGCAACATCGAGGCTGGACGAGAAGTCCAGACTCATTGACATGGGTGTGTTGGAGAAGGTGGAGATTGACCCTCCGGCGGACAAGACCTTGCAGTGCCGGTATGTGTATGACTGGCGGTTTAGGAAGCAGCACTGGTTGCGTCGCGCGCGGCTAGTGTGCAAGCAGCTGAAAGCATGGAGTCCGTTCAGGCAGGATACCTATGCTCCTTCAACATGTCCCTCGATGCTGCGTCTTCTACCTCACATGTTCGTGAGCACTCCAGGCTGGGTCTTGAGATCGTTCGATGTGTCGGATGCTTTCTTGATGGTGAAGCAGCGTGAAGAGTTGTACATCAGGTTGGACAATGAAGTTTACCGTGTCTGGAAGTGTTTGCCGGGCCAACAACTTGCTCCTGTGTATTGGCATGATGAACTGAGTGGAGATCTTCAGACTTGTGGCCTTACCGGCAACGTTGCATGCCCAGTTGTGTATGGTGGCAAAGATCAAGCCGCTACGGTCCATGTCGATGATGGCCTACTTGGAGGGTTCGAGGATCAGGTTGACCAGACGGTTGGCGTGCTGAAAGAAAAGTATAAGCTTGAGTGCAGTCCTCCGCTGAAGGAAGTTGGTGATCAGTTGAGGTTTCTCAAACGTACGCTGGAGGTAGTGCCAGAAGGACTGCGGATAGTGATCGATCCAAAGTATGTGGAGAAAATCCTCCAAGTCCTTGGGATTTCCAAACCTCGCTCCCGCAAGGTACCTTCGACTACAGACTTGACGGCCCTCGATGAGACGGAGAAGCTTGATGCTATGTGGACCGGGAGGTACAGAGCAGCTTTCGGATGCTTGTTGTATTTGGCTCCTGATCGACCTGATGCGCAGTACACGATTGGTGTGTTGGCTAGGGGAATGTCATCGCCTACAGCAAAGCAGTTGTCGCATGTGATGTACCTAGCAGAGTACTTGTACTACACCCGGGACTATAGCTTGGTTTTGCGGTGGAGCAGCCCAGGGCGATCATATTTGGACGAAAGCCCACGTGTCAGGCCGAGGCTTGATGATGGCGGAGAACCTGGGCCGCCTGGTGGAACCTTGGAAGCCAAGCCGAGGTTGCTGGAGGCCGTAAGTGATGCAGACTGGGCAGGAAGTGCTGATAGGAGGTCGGTTACGTCGGGACACATATTCTTGGATGGGAATCTGATGTTCTCGTACAGTCGACGGCAATCTACGATAGCATTGTCTTCATGCGAGTCGGAACTGATGGCCTCTACCTCTGCAATCGCGGAAGCACTTTTCCTGAAGAACCTTTTGACAAGTTTGACCAAGGACGCTGTGGACCTTGCTGCTCGGCTGGACAGCTCGAGTGCGCGCAGCCTCCTCACGAAGGCCGGTGTCTCTCGCATACGACACCTTGATGTAAGGCTGCTGTGGACGCAGAGTTTGGTCCGTGAGAAAGTTTTGTCAGTGCGTCCAGTGGGTACTCTTGTCAGCACCAGTGATCTCGGCACCAAAGTTTTGACCTCAAACAGGGTGAAGTATCTACTGTACCTGTTGGGCATGTACAACACCGACGGCTTGATAACTCCGGGAAAGTTTCCAAAACCAGCAGGGTCAGATAAATCGCAGGCAGCTGAAATCCTTAGGGTTCTTACTGCGGCCATAGCCTTGAGTCGAGCTACGGCATCTGATCCCGAGCCGAAGTGCAACGTTCCTGCTGAGCCCTACGGTGCGGTCGGCGGGATCCTCAAGGTGCTGACTGAACCGCTCTTCTATATGTTCATGCTTGCGGTCTCAGTCGTGGCGATCGTTGTGTTTATGGCACCAAAGCGACGATGGAACAGGATTCGATGTGTGGACCCTGATGCTGGTGGTGATGGAGAAGGTGAGAAGGCAGTGCGAGAGCCCTCTCAAGAGCCGAACTACTTCGATGACAGCTGGTTGTTTGCTGCATCTGATGACGACGAGGGCGGCGCTACGGAAGCCTATGTGCAAAGTTTTGTGTATGAGCCAGAACCAAGAGGGCAGACCCCAGATCTACCTGGACCTTCTACGGGACCTCATGAGCATGTTCGGGAAGGTGAGCATTCTGCCCGTGACCTACGTGATGATCAATGAGTTCGACAACAACGAGCTCAAGGACATGATCCATGGGCTCAGGGAGTGAGCAGTCAAGGACCGGCGCCTATGCCGGTACAGACGGAACCAGCAATTCCAGCTGGTCGTGGAGGTGGACATCCACCAGTTCCGGGACCAATGACGTTTCGGATTGGAAGTGGTCGTGCAGTACATCGGGCCTCTTGTGGAATGGTGAAGAGGGCCCAAAGGTTGGAACCAGAGAAGCTGATCCAGCTCTCGTTTGAAGAAGTGTGGACAGTGCAGGCCGTGATGGATGTCATCTACATGTTCGAGATGAGTCGAGTCCTGAGTCGGTTCGACAATCTGACCTGAGCGTTTTCGCATAGCTCAGTTTCTTCGCAGAGGATAAGACGCTTTTAGGTTCGTGTAGTGGACCGCGCATTTAAAATCCTCTAGCAGTTATGTGCAGAGCCTTTCGCAGTGTGTGTGCATAGTGTACAGTTTTCCGAGTATGAGTTCCGTACTTCTAGTGACAAGAAAGGGACCCCAAAGATGGTCAAAGTACGGACACAAGCTGTTGTTTGGAGCTCTGTAAAGTTGCCAGGACTAGAACAAAAATGGAGGCCGTCAGTGCGTGCGCTGATAGTCCCTTAATATCTTGAGCTTGAATTTTCTTGAAAAAAATCGGGCTTGGATTTTTGAAAGAAAGGGCTGCCGAAAATTTTCTGTCATTGTGAGCGCCAAGTAGTGCTATAGTGCATCTTCTCAACCCGCGCTCGCCATCTCAAGACATCTGAAGTCACGTGTTTATGCTGAGCATGACATTGCCATATGCACTTGAAGCTTTGCGGAATGAGCCATTGATCTTCCATGAGTTAGGTGCAGAAAATTTTTCTCTTTCCCCGTGCCGCCTTCTGCCATGGGTTCTTTTCTGTGTCGGAGGCGCGAGCGTCCGCTCGACTCGGACGACGATTCCGACTTCACCAATTACGAGGTGGATGTGAGAGTTTGCCCCCATCAGTGTCAGGTCTGCGGGGCTTACATGTGCATTCGCAAACGGACGGGGCACCACTGTCATTATTGCTCCCGCTGCATCGTCGCATGGTGGTTGCAGCGCTATGACTACTGAAAGCACCCCCAGTTCTGCAACGGATAAAGGGGGGGGGCATCCATGAGTGAAGGGGCTCCAAGCCCGTGGCAGAGAAGAGTGTCTGCGCGTGCCGCTTCTCAACTGCGTGGTGTTCCTCCTGCAGCTAAGGCTTCAAGTAATACCCCGCTTGGTCCTAAGCAACCTGCCATAATCCACCCCGTCACCCTAACTAGGGGATTTGGTGCCGTAAACCCTCTGCCTGGTAAAAGGTTGGTTGAAAGCAAGCCCGACCAAAGTCTAAGTGGATGCAACTCCTTCTTGGGAGAAAGTGGAGCTTCGGGCAGTGTGTCTGCCGACGCAAACCCTTTGCCTAAGGAAGGGTCTGAGAATGCCACGACTTTGTTGGGTGGTAGCTTGCAGCCTCGGGCCAGCGGCTCTCGCGACACCATGGTGGTTTCCTCCGCCTGCCCAGCCGAGGAAGTGGCCTCTCCTCTTGATGATCAGCCCAGTGCCAAATCAGGTAAAGGTAAGCTTCTTCCATCTGGGAGGGCCGCTCCGCCAACGCCGCCCCGATCAAGGCGAGGTAAAACCTTTGTGTCCGCATTTGTTGAATCTTCTCGCCAAGACCAGCAGCAGCCAAGCCACCCTTCTACTGCTTCCACAGAGAAGCCACCTGCATCGCATGTGTCAAGTTTGAAGGTAGGCAGTAATCTTCGTGCCCACCCAGCGGAGGGCCAAGCTGCCCTGGGATCCTCGTCTGAGGACAGCAGCTTTGCAGTGCTCACTCAAGATGCCGCCGAAGCCTTGTTGAATAAGCTGGACCAAAAACCGGAGTGCAACTCTGGCCACCCGCTATTCAGGTTTGGGACGCCAGGTCCCAACTGGACGTGCTCCAGCTGCCTAAAGCCACCCTTCAATCGTGATTGACAGGGTATTATTTCCAGATTTTGTTTTGAAGGAAAAACTGTAGTTTTTCCTTTGTTTCCCACTTTTCCGTTTCGACTTTTATCGGGCAAATCTTTTCACATGCAAGTTGCGGCAACATCTTTACAACATGTCTTGATGTGAACGAACTGCGCAGTTTTCCGGATCACAGTCGGAAAAATTTTGTGTGAGCCTCGAGATCCTTCTGCTGTGGTGCCGCACACCGTTGCCAGGGTTCCCCCGACGGAATAGTGGCTTGAGGGCTTGCTCTCGCTGCAAGGGGAGTGAGCACTGGTAGGTGTGGCAGGCCACCCGGTAGACACGTCTAGGATCTTTCTAAAAGGCCCTGGGTGCTAATCTGGTGCTTCTAGCAAGTGGGGCGGGTCGCTACATGGACTACGAGGACAGTGAGTCCTCCACGTCTTTGGCAAGTACCTCAGCGAGCTCTCACTTTAGCGATCTTAGTTTTGATTGCGTCTTTGCCTCGGGACCCGTGTGCAAAGTGCGAGTGACGATTACGCTGTGGAACTTCCTTGATCCTGCTGCTAGAACAGCTCTGCTGGCTTCGAGTGCTTCCACTCGCAGCGATTTCTTGCAGGAAATCCTCTTCGTTGCAATTAGGGCTGGTCTGCAGCCCCTGCCGTGAGAACGGCCTCGCTTCAGGGCCTTGGCTCGTGGGGTTTCTTCGATGGCTGCTGAAGCTTCGGCCTCCGATCTATGTGATCGTTTCGAGCAACACCTCCAGCACTTGACTCATGATGTTGTGGCCCCACTCAGCTATCCGTGGGACAGGAATAAGGCCTTGTCTGCCATTTTCTCAGGAAAACCAGGCAGAAGCGTCGACCTTCATAGCGTCAAGGTGCCAAGAGTCGTGCCGCCGCCAGCCACGCAGTACAGGCGGCCGGGTGATTCAGACGAGCCGCTGCCGGTGGCTCTGCAGTGTACCAAGGTTGTGCCCGTCTTTGAGGCTGTGCTTAAGAAGCCCAGGCTACAGGCAGGCGAGAAGGCCGGTGTCGATCGAGAAAATGTCCTACGTCGGTGGCTCTGTGTTCTGAGCCACTCACCTGGTGCCTCGAGGTTGGGGGTTCTCATTTGGGCGAAAGGCGAATCTGACCCCTTGGGGGTCGTGGCGCAGGCCTTGGCTGGGAAAGCAACATCGACTTTGCTTAAGCGAGCCCGATTTTCTGCACGATTCATTTGTTGGGCCGACAAGCATCATGTGAAGGCTTTCCCGGTGAGCCTCGAGTTTCTTGTGAGCTTCCTCAAACCACTTGCAGCCGAAGCCAGGAACAGTGCCATTCGTGAGGCTATGGAAACTGTGAATTTCCTGGAACATGTTCTCGGAATTGAGGTCGAACAAGGAATCAGTGACAACCCTTGGGTCAAGGGTGCGCTGCGGGGAGCCAACATTCGCACCTGTGACCCGAGACGATCGAGAGTCCTGAAGGTCGAGGAGGTGCTCCTCCTCGAAGGAGCGCTGATAGAGGGAGCCCTTGACAAGGTAGACAGGTACGCTACTGGAGTCTTCTTGTTCCAGCTTTACTCCAGGGCTCGGGTGTCCGATCTGAGGAACATTTCGAAGCTTGAGCTTGACCTTGATGGCGATACGGGTTTCATCGAGGTCAGAACTTATGAGCACAAGAATTGCCGGTTGAGCAGTGGACCGGGGGCCGTGCTCATTTTGGTTGCGCCGTACCATGGGCTCCACCAGAAGCCTTGGGGCGCCGCTTGGGCAGAGGCGGCGAAGGCCGTTGGCTTCGACTTCGAGAAGGGGCATCGCGGGCCGTTGCTCCCCCGCCTGGCCTGCGATTACTCTTGGAGCGGGGATGCCATCGATGCCAACGAGACCACTACATGGATCAGGGCGTTGCTTTCACGGCTGCAAGCGGCCGAAGAAGATCTTACATTCTCCTCGCACGGCTTGAAGGCAACGCCGCTTTCTTGGACCTCGAAGGCTGGATACAGTGAGAGGACGCAACTTGTCCTGGGACACCATAGCTTAGGTCCAAGTGGGAAAACGCAAGAAGCTTACGCTCGCGAAGTGCAGGCGCAGCCGCTACGAGATCTTGCAGAATGTCTTGGTGCCATCCGGCAGGGGGTTTTCCATCCGGATCGCACGAAGAGCGGGATGATTGCAGAAGGTGCGACCATCCGTGAGTCGCGATTCTCTTTGGCACCCTTGGGTCGTGCCGATCTTTCGCCATCTCACGAGAGCTTCGAGTGCGCTCCCGAAGTTGAGCTGGCCGAGGATGGAGGCGTAGAACCTCCTGATGATCAGGACCTGGGTGAACAAGAAGACGTTCACGAAGCCTCGAGCAGCGAGTCTGAGAGTTCCGGTGAGTCCGAGGAGGAGACTCATTATGAGAGTTTTGGAGCAGGCGAAGCGCAGAATGCGATCCCGTCTGTGAACATGGGCCCTGATTTAGACATTTTTCAGAACCCGAAGACCAAGAGCCTTCACTCACGAGCGAAGGGTTCTACTGGCAAGTTGATCTGTGGAAGGTCGCTTGACAATATGAAGCCTTTCAGTGGAAAGGTCTTCAGCAGTAGATGGCTGTGCAAGCAATGCACAGCAGGCCGGCCCCTCCGCGACGCAGGGGCCATGGCGAGTTTCATCGCTAAGAAGCAGGGCGCTTCTAAGTGAGAAATGTCGTGTGACGTGCGATGCTTGCGGATCACCACTTCAGTGTATCGCTGAGCTTCACAGTCATGTCTGATGGACGAGTGGTCAATTGCGCACCGATCCAGAGCATGGTTCGGAGACTCGTCCGGGCAAAGAAGGGTTTCAGTGGAACCTTTGGTTTACCTCGTGGCCGCCACGGGGTCCGGACGGGCGGACCAAGCTCGGCGATGCGATGATGACCAGCAGTGCGTTGTCCACATGCAAAGCTTGCAATCACTGTGTGCATGATTGGTCCTTTGCATGTGCGTGTCTCAAGACCAGTTTCTGTGAGTGCACATAGGATCGGAGATCATGGCGCAAACCCTTGTAGAGTCCAAGGCAGTCTTCCTGGAGCGAGCCAAA